AGATGTCCATAACCTACCTGATCTCATGCTGCCAGTCATGGCAGACAGCTTCTGTCCCACCTAGAAGTGTCAGGGTGAGGATGGTCCCCTGTATAGCAGCTAGACCCTGACCTTGCCCCATACTCCCCAGGGGACAACCTGCAGACGGCAGTCACTGTGGCCCAGAGCTGTGGCATGGTGAGTCCCCAGGAGCGTCTGGTCATCATCCATGCCACGCCCCCTGAGCAGGGCCAGCCTGCCTGCCTGGAGCTCCTGCCCGCGGAGTCCTCTGCAGCCATAAACAGCGCTAAGGTGAGGCTGACCGAGTTTAACCACACCCCACCCCTGGCCCTACCCTGATCACCTGACCCAGGCCCCAGCTCTCCCGGGTGGGCAGGGGTCGCTGAGCTGAGCTTCCCGGGCCCCCAGGATCCTGAACAGGCTGCAAGCTACACCATGGAGCCAGAGCCCCGATTGAGCCACCTGGCCCTCAGTGGGTCCACCTTTGGTGTCCTTACGAAGCACTTCCCCAAGCTGCTGCCCAAGGTAGGGCTGCCCCCAGCCTCCCTGGCTGCCCCCAGCCTCCCTGTGCTCCACTCCCTCCTCTGGGCTCCCCCACCCCCACCCTGCAGCTGCCTCAGCCCCTCCCATCTCCCTGTTGCCCCAGGTCCTGGTCCAGGGCACCATCTTTGCCCGCATGGCTCCTGAGCAGAAGACAGAGCTGGTGTGCCAACTGCAGAAGCTTCAGTAAGTGCGTGCAGGCGAGGGGCCTGTGGGGTCAGCTGCGCCATCCGTCCCCACCTCCCAGCTCAGGCCAAAGAGTGCCATCACCCTCAGAGGGAACCCAAGCAGGTCTCCTGGGCCTCGCATGCTGACAGGAGGTGCTGCACCTATTTCCAAGCACCTACTGCCAATCAGACACCATGCGGGCCACGGGAGTCCCCCCACCCCGGGGTTCTGCAGAGGCCCAGGAGCGGGGAGGGCCCATTTCACAGATGCGGAGGTGCCTCACAGGCTCAGAGCCAGCTCAGGTACCTGGGCCACACTTGCCTGCCTGTCTCCATCAGGTACTGCGTGGGCATGTGTGGGGACGGTGCCAATGACTGTGGTGCCCTGAAGGCAGCTGACGTGGGCATCTCGCTCTCCCAGGCTGAGGCCTCAGTAGTCTCGCCCTTCACCTCGAGCATGGCCAGCATTGAGTGTGTACCCACGGTCGTCAGGTGAGGCAGACAGGGCCTGTGGGTGAGGGCTCGGCAGGGCCCATCAGCCAGCCTGGCCCCCTAACACCCACCGCCCACCACCAGGGAAGGTCGTTGTTCCCTTGATACATCCTTCAGCGTCTTCAAGTACATGGCCCTCTACAGCCTGACCCAGTTCATCTCCGTCCTGATCCTCTACACGGTGAGTGTCTGCAGGGCTCCCTGCCTCAAGCCATGCCCAGGAGTAGGCCCCGTGCCAGGCCCAGGGTGAGGACGCTCACTCTCGTGTGGTTAGGTGCCCACAGGTTCTGGGCTACACGGTGTGGCTCCAAACCTGCTCTGCCACTTCTAGCTGAGCGGCTCGGGCAGCTCCTGGGCCTCAGATGGCAGGCTTGTTTGAGACGATGGGAGCCCTGAGCACAGCGCCTGGTGTGCAGTAGGTCCCCAGAAACAGGAGCACCCATCCTTGGGAGTCCCCCATCTGCAGGAGAGACTGAGGCAGAGCCCAGGCAGGGGTGAAGGAGGGGAAGGCATGACTGGACGGAGCCCAGGCTGCCTCTTTCCCACGGGTCCGCCCGTCTCTGCTCGCCCAGGCCCGCACCTTGGCTGTGCCCCCACGCCTGCTCAGAGGGTACCTCCAGGCCCTCTGCTCTGGCAATGTGCTGCTCGCTCCCACTGAAAGCAGGTGATGCCGTGGGGCAGTGCAGATCTACTAATGTCTGTCTCTGTGACCCTGTAAATTAAATGTAGGAGGTTCCTACGGGTGAGGACCCTGTGTTCTCCAGGAGCCTGGGGGCTCCGAAAGCCAGAGCCTGAGCCTCTCCCTCCGGCCGAGGGGGGCACCCCTCTAGGCCGGGCAGTGTCTCTTCCGTCCGACTGGGGGGTCCACAGGGCAGGAGTGTGCTGCCTCCCTGTCAGCGTGCAGAGGAAGCTCAGTACTTACCCAGTCAGACACCCTAGGCACAGGGCTGTGCCTCCTATCAGGGTAGGGGCTACCTACCCTCTGCCCTCCCGCCCCTGTCGGCAGATCAACACCAACCTGGGCGACGTGCAGTTCCTGGTCATCGACCTGGCCATCACCACCACAGTGGCAGTGCTCATGAGCCGCACAGGGCCTGCGCTGGCGCTGGGGCGGGCACGGCCCCCAGGGGCTCTGCTCAGCGTGCCTGTGCTGAGCAGCCTGCTGCTGCAGGTGGCCCTGGTGGCCGGCGTGCAGCTGGGGGGCTACTTCCTGACCGTGACGCAGCCCTGGTGAGTAGGGATCCCATCCCCAAGGCGCACCCCTGCCTTGTCCCCGTTTCCTGACCCCAGTCCCCGTACCCCCAGGTTTGTGCCTCTGAACAGGACCGTGTCTGCACCAGACAACCTGCCCAACTATGAGAACACAGTGGTCTTCTCTCTGTCCAGCTTCCAGTACCTCATCCTGGCCGTGGCCGTGTCCAAGGGGGCGCCCTTCCGCCAGCCGCTCTACACCAACGGTGCTGGGCGGGCGGGAGGGGTTGGGGGGGGCGTGGAGGTGGCGCCGCGGCACGCGTGAGTGTGAGAAGGCTCCGTGGCCTGACAGGCTCCCCTTCCCCTCAGCGCCCTTCCTGGTGGCCCTGGCGCTCCTGGGTTCTGTCCTGGTGGGCATCCTCCTGGCCCCCGGTCTCCTGCGGGGGCCGCTGGCACTGAGGAACATCACTGACACCTTTTTCAAGCTGCTGTTGCTGGGCCTCGTTGCCATCAACTTCGTAGGGGCCTTCATGCTGGAGGTGGGCCCCGCCCTGGGTTGGGATTTTGGGGGACTCTGGTGTGGGACTCAGTCACATGGCCTCTTGGCACCTCCCTGTCCTCTGCAGAGCATTCTGGACCAGTGTCTCCCAGCCTGCCTGAGGCGGCTTCGACCCAAACGGGCCTCCAAGAAGCGTTTCAAGCAGCTGGAGCGTGAACTGGCCGAGCAGCCCTGGCCGCCCCCACCGGGCCTGTGAGGTAGTGCGAGCTCTGTTCCCCGCACTGGACACTGGATCTCCCTGCCTCTGAGCCACCCACTAGGACCCACCTCCGGAAACACTGCACCATCCCTCCCAGAGCCCTGAGGCTGGCGGCGGTCATGCTCCTACCCCAAGCTCACCTGGCCCAGCCTTCCCCGCCCCCTACCTGGGGAAGTGCTGACTATCGTCCCCACTTTAGACACCCCATGTAGAGACAGCGGCCACCAAACCCACTCGGAGCTGCTGTCAATGTAGCAAATAAAGTTATAATATTTTCCTGGCTCAGTCTGTGCCTATCTTCTACCTGGGTGCCACTGACCCAGGTGCCCGGCTGGCAGCCCTGGCATGTGTCTGCTTCCAGCACCCCCTGATTTTTTGGATCACATTAGACAGCTCCTTTCTCTGGGCTCCCATTTCCTCTTCTGACAGTAATATTTCCGGGTCAAGCATGTGCCTGGTGCTCCGATAAGCATTTTATATGTACCATCATTTAATCCTTACAGCTGTAGAGTACTATCCCCATTTTACAGATATGGAAACTGAGGCTTAGAGGTCATACAAGTAATCAGAAGTGGGGCCAGATTTCTTTTACTCCAGCATCCATTCTCTTAACCCCCCGACCCACCTGGGGGGCAGGAAGAGAATGCACTTGCCCCAGACACGTGCCAGCACCTAGGAGACATTTCACTGGGGCAGTTCCCTTCCTGCCCGCCCCCCCACGTTCTGGGACATGTTTGTGGTCCAGTCCTCCCCCACAGATGAAAATCCAGGCTTCCAGCCAGAGCCACGTGCATTGTCTCCTGGGGAAGGGTGGGCGCTTCTGACCTCATCCCACCAGTGGGTCACTTGGCCAAGCCCTGCTCTGGAGATGCAACTCAGTCATCTGGCCCATCTGTGCTGGGCAGAGAACAAGAAAGACTGTTTCCTGCCTCCCCAAAGCCCCCACCAGCCTCATTACTGGAAGCCCTGGCATCATCCCCAGGCCTGCCCTAGTGGGAGCCCAGTAAATGGTGATCGAACCAAGGAGTGGTCGTGGAGTGGACGCGGTAACATGCAATGTCAGGCACAGCCACAGGCCAGCACTGGGCGCTGAGGCATCAGCCAGCAACAATTCAGGGTGGCGGATCTGTTTAAGGGGGGGCCAAAGGACACAGGGAGAGGCCTGGGTTCAAATTCCTACTCTATCCTTAGCCAATTCTTTGCCCATTTACTAGGCAGTCCTATGCCAGGCATAAGGGCTACAGTAGTGAACAAAAACCAGGGCCTCTGCCTGTATACGGCTTGTAACCTGGTGTGAAAGGCAAGCAGGGAAGGAGCACATCAGGGACATGGGGTGAAAGTACCCACACCAGCTACCTCCCTCCCCCTAGTAGCAGCCCCTCTGCTTGGGCCCTTAGAACCTAGGGAATGGGTAGAAGCTGCAGAGAGGATCTGGGAAACAGGATGCTAGAGTGACCAGTTTGGGGGCCTCAGTTTCCCCCTTTTGTCAAGTGAGGGGACAGCATTTTTGCCAGGTGATTTCCTTTCCTACCCAGGTGGGATGTGAATGTAAGTACTAGGATCAAGGGGCATCCTGCTCTCCTCCCCCCAGCCTCAGGCCTAGCCTCCTGTAACCAGACAGAGCTGAGGACTGCCCCCAAAGCAGGGGACCTGCAACCCCCACACAGCCAGTCTCTCCCAGGAGAGAGGAGTGTACATTTATTCAGTCATCCAGCAAATGTTTACGTAACAGCTGCTCTGAGCCCGGCACTGTGCCTAATAAACAAAAATAGAATGAGCAAAACCAGACCTTGTCCCTGTCTTCAGTGGCTGACAGGCACATTGGAGAGAGGGGCAGGGTTCAAACAGTCACAGACGGAGGGCAACATGACAGCTGTGAGCGGCACAGCAGAAGATGCTTAAGAAAGAGCGTAACAGGAAGAAAGAGAAGGCTCTTCAAGGAGGGGAGGGTTTGATCTATAGCCAAGAGGTAGACCTCACCAGTATTCCAGGTGGATGGAATAGCTTGAGCAAAGGCCCTGTGGCAGGTGAAGAAAGGGGTTTGGTGAGAGACTGCCAAGAGGCCTATGGCTTTGGGGAATCAGGCTGCGAATGAGGAGGAGGACTGCAACGAAGGGATGACGGGTAAGGTCCTGGGGGACCACAGGGAGTTCAGTCTTGATCCTAGTTACCATGGGAAATTCTCGAAGGACTTTAAGCACAAGGCGACCAGGGTCTGATGTACGTGGGAGAAGGTTCACTTGGGAAGACCCAGATTAGAGGATATTATAGAGTCCAGGCAAGAGATAGTGGCTTATGTGATGGTGGGAGCAGTGGACGGACTCAAAAGATATCTGCAGGACAGAATTAGTGGCTGTGCGCTGGATTGGAGGCAAGGGTCTGAGGGCAGCAGAGGAAGCCGGGATGATGGAAGATTGGTGGGGTCATTTCCTGAATAGGAACACCTTGGAAGGCTAAGTCAGGGGGACAGTAGGGAGGTTGTGAATTTGAACTTGGGTCCTTGTTGAACCTGATGTGCCTTGGGGACTTTTGTGGGGCCAGGCCTGGTAGCTTGTAACCCCTGGGCTGAAAGAAATGTTGGTTATGGAAGCCAGCACCCACTGGGATCTGGCTGAGGAGACCCAGAGGGCACAAAGAGAAACGCAGGAGAAAGACCACGCTAGGGAGGGTGTCCCGGAAGCCGGGAGAAGCCAGAGGAGAGGCCGAGGCTTATTTATTGTAGCTGAGTGGCAGAGGGTAAATCACCCTTATGAGCCTTGCTTCCCTCCTCTGTAAAATGGGGGTGATGCACCCCACCTCACCCACCTCACGACGTTGACTACGGGCCAGACGAGATAAGGAGAAAGCGTTTTGCACAGTGTGAAGCGCTGAACAGATGTGAGCCTCCTTCTGAGGCTGCCCCCAGAAGGGGGTTGGAGACCCGAGGGCGCGGCGTGGCGGCGGCGCTCGCGTTAGGACCCAGCGGATCCGGGGCTGGAGGGCGGGCGCTGGCCCCGTCGGGGGCCCGGAGGGGGGCTCGGAGCGGGCAAAGGGGCGGCTCTGGGGCGGGCGGACTCGGAGCGGGCGCGGGCGGCGGAGTGACCCGGCCAGGTAGGCTCGGGCCCGGCGGGGCGGAGGGCGCTCGGGGGTCTGGGTCGCAGGCAGGGGCGTTGGAGGGCCCTCAGAGGGGAGGGGTGTGGGATTCGCGGTCCCCAATCCTGGAGGCGGCTGCGGGGTTCCCTGAAGCCGGGCCGTCTGTGCAGATGCTACGACGGCATCTGGAAAGTTTGAAGTCGCTTTGAGGGGCGCCTGGGTTTGGGGGAGCCAGCGATGGGGGCGTCGGGGATGGATAGGTTGGAATGTGGCGGGTGGGGCGGGGGTGTCGGGCTGAGCGGCCGGACGGAGCCGTGGAGGGACAAAGAGATCAGAGACCGGGAGAGCGTGAGGGGGCCGCGGAGCCAGGTTCCCTGGCTGATTGTTCCCAGCTGTGCGGCGCTGCAGCATCTGGTTTCCTCCCGCCGGACCCCGCGGCCTCCTGAGCGGGCAGAGCCTCCCTCCGAGGGCGCGTGGTGCCCTGAGGAGGCCCTGCTGGGTGGTCCCCCTCCTCCCCAGGAATGGGGTGGGGGTGGGGGGCTGGCCACAGCTGTGGAAGGGGCCAGAGGTGGGGGGCAGCCTGGGCAGGACCTGGCCTCCCCCACACCCCCAAACTCCGGAATCTCCAAGTGCCTGGAGGCGTGATCCTCCGGAGGGACCTGTTCCCCCCGCCCCACCGCTGCTCCTTATGGCCTCCCCCTTGCCCTGGAGACCCCCTTCCCCGAGTGAGCCTGCACCTGGCGGGGGGCCCGCTGGGGAGGAGAAGACTCCATCCAAAGGCTGAGAGGCCTAGCCTAGGAGGGGCCTTGAGGTCAGACAGGACCACCCCCGACACACACCTCTTAAGGTCCCGTAGGTCCCAACTGAGGGCCTCTTCCTGAGTGGTGACAGCTCCAGCTAGCCTGGCCGCCACCAGCCTGTGGGCTCAAGGACCGGATAGTGAGGCCTTGTGAGGAGCTGCCAGGAAGCTGCTCCACGGCTCTCGCACCCCCACCCCACCCCACCCCAACTGTGAGGAGAGTGGGGACGTGAGGAGCCAGACGCGCCCTACCTCTGGGGAGTCTCATCCCTGGCCCCCCACCCCACCTCACCCACCCACCTCTCTGTCCTCACTCATCTCACTGGACTGCAGCTTAAGGAGGGGAGCCAGAGGCTGGACGTATGAGATGGGCAGCGGGGCACAGAAGTCTCAGGACTGGGAGGAAGGCAGGAAAGATGCCTCTGTTTCTGCTGCTGTCCCTTCCCTCTCCCTAGATTCCCAGGGGGGAAATACCAGAGTTAGGTGTCCAGTTAGCTGTCCGGGAAACCCTTTGCTGTAGCAGGGAGGGGGCCTTCCTGAATGGATGAGCCTGTGGATTCTCTCCCTGCCCTGGCGGTCTTGAGGCTGCCCTCAGCTGAGCTGGGCCTGGACAGGGGGATCCCCCTAGACTCCGCTAAGTCCACTGTGTGGCCAAAGACTGGAGGCTGTCGACGAGTTCTTGAATTTCAAGAGCCTGGTGAACGCTATGGACCACAGCCCTTACCCTAAAAAATTACACACACAGCACTCATCATACACTGTTGGGGGTTCAGAATCCCTGAGTTGGGGTGACATTATGGCACCCCCAGCGCTGCCCTTCTAGGATGCAGAGAAGCCCCCCTCCGTCTCCACCCGAGGTGCCTCCTGCTGCTGCAAATAGACCTCAGTCTCATGAGTCTGTGAAGACAGCCAGGTCTTAGGAGGCCATGAGGCCTGGCAGGAGAGGAATCTTCTGGGGGTGGGAGCCCTGCCCAGGCCTGGCTGCCCTAGGGGCCCCTGGGGCCGGTGCATGCATGTGGTTTCTGCTGAGCAAGATGCTCAAGGCCCGGGGCTAATTGGGAGCATGTGGTGGGTTTGGCAGATGCTGCTGGGTCTGGGCTGGGATGTTGGCTCAGCAGGGCTGGGGTCCCAGGAATGGGCCTGGGGTCAGGGATTCACATGGACACCTGAGGAGGTGCTGAGCTAGAAGGCAGACATAAGTGTGAGCAAGGAGAGCAGAGTCTGGACTAGTGGAGGATTAGAAATGTCCCCGCAGTGAGTGGGGTTAGGGTGGGGTCTGTCCGTTTGTCAACATCAGCCCTGGAGCCAGGTTGGACTTGAACCCGGAACACCTGGAGTACCATCAGGGGCAGCAGATGTCTCCCCAGAGTATCCCCCCACCGCCCCAGACTCTCTGACCCTGCACATGCCAAGCTTCTATTCTGAGTGCCTCCTTCTGCAGGCTGAATTTGGGAGAGCGGAGATGGGCTCTGCAGTCCTGGGTCAAGAGGCCTGGGATGTAGCTTGCTCCTCCTCCTCCCCCAGCTGTCTGACAGGAGCCCAGCCCGCTTCGCTGCGTAGCCATGAGAGCTGCCTACCTCTTCCTGCTATTTCTGCCTGGTAAGTGGCTCCTGGGACTGGGTGGGGAGAGGGGCACTCCCCTTATATGGGTGGGCATGGGGCTCGTGCAGGGAGGCAGCTGGCAGTGTGCCTTTGTCATGCCCTATGGCCAGAACTCAGCTCCCTGCGTCCCAGGGCCTCCTGCCTCCCGGACCACAGACTGGACTAGCCAACCCCACCCAGTCTGAGGCGTCTCCTGGGCCCTCACCCCAGTCTTCCACAGCAACAGACAGGAGGGATCTGGAGAGTGGGCACAAGCTCAGGCACCAAGAGTTCATGTTTCCCCTCTTACTTACTCTCCTGGGAGCTGATGTGCAGAGAAGGGGGCACCCAAGCCAGGCAGTCTGGAGACCTGGGTTCTACACCCATTTGGGACCCAACCACACTATACAATCTTGACCTTGGAGGCGGTCCCCATGGGTCAGAGGAGGAGTTACCAATGGAGATCACAAAGGCCCTGCAGCTCTAACATTCATTCATTCAACAGATACTTGTTGAGCTCCTGTATGTTCCAGACACTGGGCTAGGTCCGGGGGCCACAGCGATGAACCAGCCAGACCTGCACCTCCTGGCTCTGTCAGTTCAGGGAAGGGAGGGAGAGGTGATACATGTCAGATTGTGTTGAGTGTTGTGACTGAAGTGAACAGGAGGATGAGATGCACAGGGTGGGTGGACCAGCGAGGGCCTCTTAGCAGAGCTAAAATTTCAGGTGAGATCTATCTGTGAGAGCAGCCAAGCAGGCCTAGGGAAAGTTAAGTGCAAAGGCCCCAAGGAGCAGCCAGGAGGCCATGATGGGAGAGACAGGTGAGCAGGATAAGGTCAGTGAGGGGACACAGGGCCAGGGGGCAGTCAGGGCCTTCATGGCCAAGGAAAGGGTTTGGATCCTGAGGGTCTGAGTCTGGCTGTAGAATCTTAGGGTCTTACAAACCTGCCCTTGCGACTCCCCCCTCCCCTCCCCAGAAGTGCCTCGGGCCCCCTGCTGTCCTTCCCTATGGGGGACCTTCTCATGCTTTTCATCCCCACAGCAGGCCTGCTGGCTCAGGGCCAATATGACCTGGACCCACTGCCTCCGTTCCCGGACCACGTCCAGTATACCCACTACAGTGACCAGATTGGTAGGGGCCTTGCCTATCCCCAGGTCTCTCCCAGCCTGGCCACATCATCAAGTCCTGACCCCCCAGCCAGGGACCGGGTGGGGTGGGGAGATCAGAATCTGGGGAGGGAGGTTGGTCCCTGGCTCAGCTGTGACCTCCTTTGCCCTTGGGGCTGGCAGCTAGCCTGACTCCTACCAACCCCACATTCATCTCTGTTTTCAGACCACCCAGACTACTATGATTATCAAGGTAAATGGCTGGGGCAGGACAGGGCTTGTGGGCATTTGGGTGGGGCACCCATGGGGACTGCGCTGGGGACAGAGCGGATCCCCCTTAGCACTTCCTGTTGCAGAAGCAACTCCTCGGCCCCCTGAGGAGCAGTTCCAGTCCCAGCAGCAAGTCCAACAGGAGGTCATCGCAGCCCCCACCGTAGGTAGGCTATAGCTCCCACCAGCGCCGCCGGGGTGGGCCACCTGCGCCGGGGCTGGGAGAGGTGACCCCACCCCGCCCTGAATGGACCCCTCAGTGATCTCTGCCTGCCCCTCTCCCAACACAGTACCAGGAAACGCAGAGACAGAGCCCACAGAGCCTGGGCCCCTTGGTAAGAGCTTTCCTGACAGCTGGAGAGACTAAGACACGGCCCCAGTAGTTGGGGTGGAGTGGGGTACAGCCAGCCAGACCTTTTGCTTTCGTTGGGCTAGATGGTGGGGTGGGGCGGCTTGCCCACATGCCTGTGCTTTACACCAGCTGCAACCCCAGGGACCCCTAGGCAGATCTGGGACACCCCTGCCCCCTGGGCTTGGCTGGCAGTCAGTTGGCTACAGCCTTGGGAGGGGCCCTCTGCTCCCAGACACTGGGGGTGTGGTCGTAGGGCGGGCCGGGAGCGTGCTGGGGGCTTCCTGCCAGCCAGTGGGCCTGGGTGGTGCTCAGGCAGGCCAGGCCACGCAAGGAGGGGACTGGAAGCCTGGGCCAGCTGAACAGCCCTGTGCTTCCCCAGCCAAGAGCCTGACAGTGAGATTGTGAGGGATCCTGCCTCCCCATGTTAGTGTTCCTGTGAGTGTGCGCAGCCCTGGCCGGGAGCGTGCTGGGGGCTTCCTGCCAGCCAGTGGGCCTGGGTGGTGCTCAGGCAGGCCAGGCCACGCAAGGAGGGGACTGGAAGCCTGGGCCAGCTGAACAGCCCTGTGCTTCCCCAGCCAAGAGCCTGACAGTGAGATTGTGAGGGATCCTGCCTCCCCGTGTTAAGTGTTCCTGTGAGTGTGCGCAGCCCTGCCTGTGAGGCTGGTGTGGACTTTTGTGACCATGTGCGTGGTTGTGTTTGAACTTAAGTGTTGGATATATGCTTCTAACTGTGGCTGTGAATTCGTGTAAGCATAAATATATTGTAAAATATTGGGCAGCCCCAGAAGGCCCAGCGATGTCATGTATGTATCTGTTGGGTGTATGCGATGTGCGCATGTCTGGCCTGGGCCCGGGAGTGCAGGGTATACCTAGACCCTGAGATGAAAGCCAGTCTCCAGTGCCCCACCCCAGCCCTGGGCCCCCAGCTGCAGCCCCCGGTCTCCACCTGTCACCCAGACTGCCGTGAGGAGCAGTACCCATGCACCCGCCTCTACTCCATACACAAGCCTTGCAAACAGTGTCTCAACGAGGTCTGCTTCTACAGGTGAGCGCAAACAGCGACTGGGAGTCAGGGTGGGGGCGGGGGCGGTTCCAGCCAGCCAAGGTGGGAGTTTGGGGCAAGACAGCAAATCCTGAAGGTGAGCCAAGCATGGTTAAGCCCAGGCCGAGGGCCCAGGGCTCCAGAGCTCTGATGCCAGCTTGTCTGGGCCCTCCCGCTGGGGCTGACACCATCTCTGGACCCATCCTCAGCCTTCGCCGAGTGTACGTCGTCAACAAGGAAATCTGTATCCGCACGGTTTGTGCCCACGAGGAGCTCCTCCGAGGTAGGAAGGCCTCCACCCCAGACCTCCCCCTGCCCTGCACCCACTCATTGTCCATCCCCCCAATTTTCATCAAACACGCGTTATGCGCCACAGCTGCTTCCAGGGACCCTGGGTCCCACCCCCCGACCTGCACTGCTTATCATCCTCAGGACATCCTCCATCGCCAGGGCTGGGGAGGGGGCAGCAGTTCCCATCGCCCTGCTCACCCCTGATGCTAGCTGCTTCCTGCCCCACCACAGCTGACCTATGTCGGGACAAGTTCTCCAAATGTGGTGTGATGGCCAGCAGTGGCCTGTGCCAATCCGTGGCGGCCTCCTGTGCTAGAAGCTGCGGGGGCTGCTAGGGTGGAGCTAGCACCCTGAGCCCTGGACCGCCCCGGACCCTCCTTGGATCTGGGGCCCTCAGGCCCTGCCTGATCTGGTGCTTTTCTACCCAGCCTGACATCCCTTTTATTCTGTAAAAAGTTAGTGGACTGTGGCCCTGGGCGTTGTCTCAGGGCCCTCCTCCAGGCTGTGGCCACCCCTGGGGCAGAACGGGGGGGGCCCCCACCGCCTTGTCTTCATTCCCAGTAGGGGGCATACTAGGCCTCGCTCTCATCCCAGAGGAACCTGGGCCTCCAATGGGCCTTCTCAGCCCTCTGAGGACAGTGCCCCCCACCCCCAGCCCCTTGAGGTAGGCTATGCCCCTCACCCCAGCTGGTCTGCTTGGATTTAATACAGCCCCCGGGCATAGACCACCTTTGTTTTATATAAAATTAAAAACATGTTTTTACAAAAGATTGTCACCTTTTCAGTCCAGAGCCCAGCAGTGGTGGCCAGGGGCCTCTAACGCTGCCTGCCCTCACTGAGAGGCTCCCCGGCCCCTCGGGGAGAAGGGACTGTTCAGGTGATCTGGGGCCTTGCCTCCGTAGTCCCAGCTCTGCCTCGTCATCTACTGGCTTGTGTTCTGACCTGCCCGGAAAGACGGACCACAACCACTGCCCTGCCAGGGGGCAGGAGTGTGCACAGGGAGACGACGACTCAGGGGTACACCTTTCTTGCTGGCAGGGCTGTGTGGGGAAGGTGTGAGTGCCCCATTGTTAGAGGGGTGCAAGCCAAGAGGAGAGGCCACCTGGGTGGAAGCATAAGGATGTGCACAGGGGGGTGTAAGGCAGGAAGTCAAGGTAGGTGGACTCTTAGATCAAGGGCTTTTTGGGGGTCTGGTGCAGGTCAGAGGGCACAAACATGGCAAGCCATTCTACCTCCCTCTTATCAGCATGGGAGGCCAAGCTGTGCATGACTGATCGGCACAGTCCTGTTTAACCCTCCAAGCAGGCCTTGGGGTGGTACCGTTAATATCCCCAGGTTACAGATAGGAAACAGTCCAGAGGCATTAAGGAGCCCATGCCAGGGTCCACAGCTAGAATGGCAGGCTTGGGGCTACCCCATCCCTCTTGCCCAGGCCCCACCTGTCTGCCCTCCCGCCTCCCTAGTGGGAGCAGCACACTGACAGTAAAGGGACACGTCATGAACCGTTTTTAGAAAACAGGGTCTTGTTAAAAAAAAAAAAAACACAGTTCTGAACAGATAACATTGTAAAAAGGTATAAAAATACAAGGACTCTGAACTCTGAGGAATTTCCTGACAAACACTGAACTAGGCGGAGACATCTCTGCGAAGCCAGTGAGGATCTGGTCTCTGACCCCTGACCCCTGACCTAGGCCTGGCCAGAGATGAGGCGGGGTCTCCCCAACCCCTGGCTGCAGCTCAGCCACTCTCAGGGAGGGTCTCCTACTATCTGGAGTGGCCAATCCCAGGGCAGAGGGCTGGACCGAGGGGGGCCTCAGACAGGGAGGCTGTCTGACACTGGGCACCACTGCTGTGCAGGTCTGGCCTGGTGCCGGGCTCCCTGCCCCCGCCGCACTGCTGCCCCAGCTGCCCCAGCTCTAGTGGCCCCAAGGGGCTCAGGTTCCAGGCAGATGGTGCTAAAGAGGAGGCCCCTCCCCTGCTCTGGCCAGGGGCTGCTCTCCAGGATGTCCACCAGAAAGGGGCTCATTTCTCTGGAGGGACGGAGGGGGTGGGGAAGGATGCTGAGCTCCTTCGAAGCCCCTGCTGCAACTGTCCCTTCAATGTGGACACCTGGACAAGAAAGAGGAGGTAGGGACAGCTCACCAGCCCAATTTCAGAGGAAGGGGGAGGGGTTGACTGGCTGAGACCCCAGAAAGGACCCAGTGCTTCCTATTTCAGAAAAAACAAGTCTCATGAAGAACCAGGGTTCCCTTTTCACTCTGCCTGTGTAGCAGCCAGCATCACGGCCGCTTCTGACAGCTCAGCATCGCTTTCAGGGCCACCCGGCCCCGCTCTCACTAGTAAGATAGGCCTGGCACTAGCCCGACTCCAGGGGTAGTCTTCCAGTGCAGCCTTGCCCTGCAGACGTGAGCGGGTCTGGGATGGGCAGAAAGGGGCCTGTGATCTACGCTGGCCGATGAGGCTCCTCTTTGGGACTTCTGCTGTTGTGCTCAGGAGAAAGCCCAACCCCCACTCCCTTCTGGGATGGAGCATCGTTGGGAAAACCGAGGCTGAAGTTGTTGAGGCCACCTGTGTCACCCAGTGAGAGGACCTGCCCTGGGCATGGAGCCGGAGCAGAGCCCTGGCAAGGGGACTGAGCTACAGTGACATCACCTGAGGCCCCGTGTCCAGCCATGGTTAATGCCAACAAAGCCGCCAGACCATTCTAGTTCTGGGTGCCATCGACTACTAATAGCCCAGAGGTCATGATGGGGCCTCTCCTCCTTACCCTCTGCTCGCCCTCCAGGTCCACATCCACACCTTTATCCTTGCCCTGCTTCCTGAGAGGGGCATCCTGTTGGTTCTGCAGCCCCCTGGGGAGGGCCTAGAGCCCAGCCAGGCCTGAGTACCTGCTCTTCCAGGCCGCGCACCCTCTGCCGGTGCGCCCGCTCCCGTGCCTCCAGGGTGCGCTCCGTCTGTGCCTGGGCACTGTGCAGCCACTCCACCTCCTGCTGCAACTCCAGCCTCTGCTGCTCATCTGCCTCCAGCTGGGCTGGGCTCTGGTCCTGCTCCAGCGCCACTACCTGGGCCTGCAGGAGGGGCCACTGGTTGGGAGTCCGGCCCTGTGTGTGTGTGTGCATGCAGCGAGGCAAGAGCCTGAAGTTACCGGGCAAAGCCACTGCAGGCAGGGACACAGGGAAGATCTTTGTTTGTTACCCCCCTGTGTTCACTGGCCTGTGACTCCTGGGTCAGGGTATCTAGTGACCCCCACTCAGACAAGCAGACACGCATATTCAGACACAGAGATAGGGCCTCTTACAGGTGCAAAAGCAAGCATGGAAATACATACCCGTGTTCACATGAATACATGCATATGTGCAAAAGCCTAGTACTCACACGTGCATTTGCATACACAACACATGTAACACATGTAACACATTCCTAATTCTTACACTTGCCACATCTGCACACAAGATGCATGCTACATGCACGAGAACACTCCCACATATACTCATACCTCTACACGTCCACAACACACACGAACGCACAGGCTAACCAGCCTTTAGCCTCTCTTTTTCTCTCCACTTTGGGGAAGGCCCCTCCCTCTAGGACCTGGTTCTGGGCTGACCCCTGCAGGAGTTGAAGGCCCTGGGCTGGCTGAGCCATCAGCAACTCCTGAGACTGCCTGGCACTCAGGTGGGGTGGTGTTGGGGTCCAGGTCTTGGGAGAGAGAGGGTGTCCAGGGCTGGGTGGGCAGGGGCTGGACCTCCAGTAGCTGGATCTGTCTCTGGGCCTCGGCCAGCTCCAGCTCAGCCCCTGTGAGCGTACGGTCCAGGCGGCCCTTCTCTGCACTCAGCCGCACTGAGTCCTCATGGCTGCGAAGCTTCTCCCGCTCCACCTAGGTGGAGAAAACAGGACAGTGGTCAGGATGCCAGGGGAAGGAGGGAAGTCCCGGGAAGGGGGAAGGGGCTCAGAGAGGTCTGTCAGGTTAGAGGCACTGGGATGAGCGGTCAGGGGGGACCTGGGGCCCCTCAGGCCCTAGGGACACACAGCTGGGACCAACTATGACTAGGACACAGAGGAAGGTGGGGGAGGGCCCTGGGGGTGCAGCCCACCTTGTCCAGCATCCTCTTGAGGGCCACTCGGTCCTTCTCTAGACGCAGGGCTGACCGCTCCACCTCCCGCTTCTCGGCCTCCAGCTGGGCCAGGCTGCGCTGCAGACTGCCCAGGTGTTCCTGCAGCCGCCGCCGCTCGTCCTGCAGTTTCTGGACTGTGCGCAGGGCCGCGGCCTCACCCTCTTGTCGTTGCCGCAGCACCTGCGGAAGCCAGCAAGTCCCTGATCCCTCTGGGCCTCTGTGTATCTGAAGCTTGGGGATGATAATGGCCACCTGCTGTGCCCACTCACTCAGCAGGGAGATTGTGAGTCCCACATCACAGACCTATCACCTGAGAGGAGAGAGGTCTCCTCTCTGAGCCTCAGTTTCTCCATCTGTATAATGGAACACGGACCAAATGAACTATGCTTCCTCGTGGGAGGCTGGGCCTGGATTTGGAATGAGGATGAGATGGGTGAGAAGGTCTCCACCCCATGCCAGGGCCCTCAGAGTCCTGGGAATGAAGGGGCCCATCCTGGCCCTCACCTCCTGAAGCTGCTGCAGCTGTCCCTCCGCCTCTGCCCGCTGCAGCTCCAGGTCCGCCAGCTCGCCCCGCGTGGTCTGCACCTGCTCGCTCAGGGAGCTGCTCTGCTTCCGAGCCTCAGATAATGCCTGCCGAGCAGCCGCCAGCCGCTCCTAGGGGACCAGGGATGAGAGTGCCAGGTCGACCTGGGAGTCCTGAGGCAAAGGGCTCCTCTGTACTCTGTACCTCCGAACCAGGTACACAGCCCGTGAAACAGGCAGTCATCTCACCTGGAGGGCCGGCCAGACAGCAGGCCAGGCCCAAAGCCTATCCACTGACCCCTCAGACCTCAACTCCCCCCATTAACCCTGCACGGGGGCTCCCACCCAGGTCTGTACTAGGGGGCTAGTCCTCTTAAGGGCCCACCCCAGCCAGAGCCTCCTCTCATTGGCTGAAGCTGTCATTGGACTCACCACCCCCCTCAAAACCAGCTCTCACTGACGGCTCTTTAGGGTTGTCAACTGACCTCCCCATTGGCTGGCTCTCCCAGCACAAGCCTGCCCTGGTTGGCTAGCTCTCACAGGGCCTACCCCCAGCCAGACCCTGGAACCTCCATACTTGGAGCACTTGGCGGTCATGTTCACAGGCAGTCAGGGTCTTCTGCAGGTGTAGATTCTTGTCCTGGGTGCTGGTGAGGCTGACGCTGTTCTGGGCCAGGGTGTCCGTGAGGCCCTGTACCTTATCCCGCAGGGCCCCCTCACTCTCCTCCACCTTGGCCAGGGCCCCGCTCAGCCGCTCCACCGTAAGCTGCAGAGTCCCTGCCTTCACCTCACTGTCTGCCACCTGGCAGGAAGACAGGCAGGACAATAAAGTGGCTCTGCTCTTGCTGTGATCTCCCAGAGGGAGGGCCAACCCATCGCAAGTCAGGCCCTTCTTACCTCATTCTAGGCCTTCATCACTGATACTCATAGTTCTCATGCACTCCCACTGGCTCAGCCTCCTGTAACCTGGGCCCCATCCCACTGCTGGTTAACCACCCTCCAATGCCAACAACCTGACTGTCTCAGAACCCATCATCACCATGTTCTCATTTCCCACTCCTCCCTTCTATGGAGGGGAAAGGGTAACTATCACAACACTATAATTTTCTATGTCCTTAACTGCAGGGCTAACAGCTACT